AAAAATGATGAACCTTTAAGTGCAAGACATATTAAATCGATTGTTAAATTTGGTGGAGGTAGTATAATAGTTTGGGGAAGGGATATAGAGAGAAGGGAAAAGAGAAAACGAGAAAAAAGTAAACAACTCAAAAATTTTCTAAAAAGGAAATTTTCAAATGTAGAAAGGGGGAGTAGGAAAAAGTTTTTTTAAATAATAAAAAATTTTTAAATTGTATATATATACATATATAGATAATTTATTGTTTTTTTTTTAATTGAAATACTTTTTTAAAGAATGATTTAAAAATTTTTCAAAAATTTTTTTTAAAAGATACAGTTGATGAATTTAATATTAAAATTGAAAAAAAATTTTTTGCTAAAAAAATTAATAACTTTAATATAACTTGAAAATTTCTATTTTTGCTATGTTTTATTAATAAAAATTGATCAGTGATTAGTTATTTATATGAGCTATCATATATACAGTATATATGTTTTTCATAATATGTTTTTAAATATTTTTTTATAAGATTTTCATAAAACTCTAAATATTCTTACTAAAAAAATTTTCAATAAAAATCTTTAGCTTAAAATATATTTTTTAAAAAATACTTCTTTTATAATACTTTTAATCACATGTTATTTAAATAAAATATAAGTTTTTAAATTTCTTTGAAGCTATTTAAAATAAATCTTATCTTAATAAAATCATATTTAGTAATTAAGTACTGACTTATATAAATTTTATTTTTAGTCAAGTGATATTTTTTTCTATAATTTTTTATCATTTTAATAACTTATTAATTTTTTTATAAAAAGTTTTATGAGACTCTATAATTTTTTAAATGCTTTTATTTAAAACTAAATATATAAGTTAATATTTATTTTAAATTATAACAAATCTTTTAATATATCTAAAGTTTCTTTAAGTATTTTTTATATTGATATATTAAAAGAAGATTTGAAAATATATTTAAGAAATTTTAATTACTTTTAGAATATTTCTGTTTCTATTTTGGTAGAAGTTGTAAATCTTTATTTTTTAGCTAAACCTAAATTTATAAAATAGTTTCTATCTTTTTAAAAACCTTTAAAGAACTTTTTTAACTTTTTTTTTTTGACAGAACTAGAAATAAGTTTTTGTAATATTTTATATATTTTTTGTTTTTTGTTTGACATTAAAGAAAAAAAAATTTTTTTAAAATCTTATATAATACAAATTTCAAAAAATTATATCATATTATAATTACAAATTGTTTTTTATTACTTTTTAAAAATTATTTTATAAATATAGAAAATTAAGTTATTATAATATAAATTAAATTTTTAATTGGTTAAAATTAATCAATATTTTATTGATTAATGTTACATATTTTTAAATTTTTTTGAAAACTTTTAAAATGAATTACAATTAAAAATAAACTATTGTTACTTGAAATTATTTACAAATAAAAATCAATAATTATATTTATAATATATTATAAAACTTTTTTTAAATTTTTTTTAAATTTTTAAAATTTTAATTAATAGTAAATTAAAAAATAAAAAAAATTTTTTTATAAAAAAGATATAATATTATTGTTATTATTAACCAATTTTTAGATTTATTTTATTTAAATTTATTAAGTTATAAAATTTTATATTTTATTTTTAATATTATAAAAAAATTATTTTAAATTTTAAAATTTTAAAATTTATAAATTAAAAAATCTATAGATTAAATTAACAAATTTTTATTTATAATTAATTTTTAATACTTAAAATTAAATATATATATATATTTTAAATGTATTACTAAACTAATCCAAAACTATACCAATCTTATTTTCTTTAACACTAAGTAGGTAAACATAGTTGCTTAGTATCTTTTGACAAGATATATTGTTTTAAAATTTATTTTCAATATTAGTCATTTGATTTCTGTAAGCAAGCTAGCATTAAACTTATTGTATTTACAAATGAGAGATGTTGTTTCTTTCATGATGTATACTTTTAATATACAAATCAAATAAAGAAATGATGTTTACCTACTAAAAAAAAAAAAAAAAAAAAAATTAAATATATTTTTTATTAATATTTATGCAATAGTTTTTGAATAACAGATAAATAAAAAATTCCAAAAAATTTTGCAATACACTGTATATATGTTAAATTATTTTAATTTAAGTTACATAAAAAATAAATAAATAAAGAGCAATACTTTTTTATCTCAAAATTATGTTACTCTAACTTTATATGTATATAATAAAAATAATAAAGTAATGATAGGTTATAAACAAATTTAAAATTTTGATGTTATTTATATTTAAAATAAGATATTTCATTAATAAAGATTAAGGTGTAATTTACGAAAAGTTTTTTAGCGTGTATAAATAATATAAAGAAATTTTTGTGATAAAACAGATGTGGACCCAATTAATCTCGTGTTTATCGGTAATTAATTTTTTCCTTATTTTTAGTTAGTCCTTGTCAAATTTGACAAATTTCCGTCTGACGTGAATATTATTGTCATTGTTTGAAAAGATTTTTGCATATTAGAAGAAGTGGTCAGAACCCCAAAAATAGAAACTAAGTTTTGTAATAGTAATTAAAGAAATTTCTGGTGATGTGCGTTACATGATTACCTCTCAATCATAAGTAATGCTCATGATTGGGTAATGCAAAAAAATTATACATTGCGTACTGATATTTCATGACACACTATGTTCCGACTAGGAAGCTAAGCTTTTTTTAATCCTCCAGTTAAGGCTATTAAGTTTCCGAAAGAAGTGCACACGTTGTGTGTTGAATCTCCAGCTCCCAATATCTAACATTCTTAAGTTTATTTATTTATTTTTTTTTTATTAAACTCCAACAAAAGTCATTCATTCTCTTCCTCACCTCGCCTAAGCCTTCATACTTTATCAAGTAGTAAAAAACGGGGACCTTTTTTACTCGTACAAATCTATATATATCTGTCGGGAATCGAGTAAACCAAAAAATGAGCGCTTATTCAAGAGTAAGTTTCTCGATATTTCAAGTTACCGAACATTTATATTATAGAATAAGTAATCAAATCAAGAAATTGTGTTATTGGTGATGACATAAATGATATTTTTGAAACGAATTAGGTTCCCCATTCCGAAGACGACGTCCAAGTAATAGAACTTCAAGTCCCTTCTTCGAACGCTGAAGCCTCCACTTCAAGTTCTTCAAATACAGCACAAGTTGTTGATAATGAAATAATAGAAACTGAGCTTACACCTATGATTATTGAGGAAATTGTAGAAGGATCTACTTCAGCTGAAAACGAAAATGTTGCGGAAGATAATTTTAACAGCGGGGGCACTAGATTTTCTATATTAAAAAAGATTAAGAGGAAGATTAGTAGTAGCCAGCCTAATAATAACCAGCCTGCAGCTTTACCTTCAAGCACTGATGGCGTCTTTTCAAACTTGTCGGCTAAACCTGACACATTGGCTGATAACGAAGACAAAAATCCACCGGTTTGTAATTTCATATTGTAAACTCTATTTTTATCTCTGTTAATTCTTTTTTTTCTATCATCAGCCTTATGAAACCGCAGCAGCCGATGCAGCCCCACCTTACATGGATACGGCTACTATGACATCTGGTTTATGCGGAGACGAAATGCTTGTCGAGGGTTTGCCCGTAGGGAATTTCTTCGGTTTCGTTTGGAACATGCTTGGTGAGTAATTTATAAATTCATTGATCGATCGAACCTTTTGTTTTTTGACCAACAAAATGTACATCCATCCATAGTATCCATGAGCTTTCAATTTGTCGGATTTTTGCTCACCTATCTTTTACACACTACTCACGCTGCCAAGGTACGGTGTGATCATTGATGTTAAAGAATGTTACTATTTACGAAATGCAATGATCACATCTATCGAACATTATTTAAACAGAACGGTTCCCGGGCTGGTTTGGGCATCACACTGGTACAGTATGGATTCTACCTTCGTGGTAGGTCGCTTCAAGATGAAGGTGATTACCCTTACGACGATACAGATATTAGCGACAAGGAACTATTGGCTCGTAATGCATGGATAAGGTTTGTAGTGAATCTTATTAATATAAGCTCTTTTAATGGGTCTAAGTGGGTCTTACAATATATGCATGTATGTTGAAACTCTATAGCTACATCCTCATGGCTTTAGGATGGTTCATTGTTATCCGAAGTGTCACGGACTATATCCGGGTTAAGAGGTTGGAGTCAACCATGAGATCAAATCCTGAAGAAAATGTGTAATTTTCATGTTGAGTTACACATCTTTTTAAACTAGACATTGGATATGTTGTATTGAATTTACTCCTGTACCATTTCATTTCATTTTTCGTAATTATCGTAAAAATTTTCAATGTTTTATTGTAAACTTTTTGATTCCATATCATAAGGACGAGTCAACTCCTCCTTTTTTGTTTTTTTTTTTTTTTTTGTCAAACTTAAGCAATATTACATGTAATCTCTTTCTCAGTAAATGGCATAACTCGAAAAAAGTGGAAATATTCTGTTTCATTCTTCATAAGAAACTATCATTAAATTTGATAATATAAAGTTTTTTTTCACTAGTGCCCTTTATACTCAAAGGATCTATAAGAACTTGTTAAACACACATTCATTTATTTATTAGGTGAATTTAACTTAATTATCGAAATCTAAATTTGAAACATCGATGAGTAATAAAGTTTAAATTTTGAAGTCCCGTCTCGACAAATTATTAGTAATACATTATTATGAATATTAATACACCACATCACCATAAACAATAAATATACTGTATATATATGTTAATTGTTTTGTTCCCATCACAATTATCAAATTATTGTAACAATTTACACCTAATTTTTAGTAAAAAGAATCTTTTGGTGATCTTATGAAAAATATTTCATACATCATCGTTCGAAATTATCTGACATCCAATTAAAAAAATTGAACAAAGATAATAAAATAATATCTGATTTTTTCTTCTCTCTTTTTTTTTGTAAAAGTGTCGAGCAATGACAATAATGGTCCATATAGGCCAGGGACGTCATATAAAATTTGGGATTGATTTGAATAAGTCACATGATTCGATAGTCCTGCTTATTCCGAATGCAAGCGGGTGGACAATTTTTTGTTCCTGAAAAAATTTCATGGGCAGATATTTCTTTTTGTTAGATTTGGAATCTCTACAGTTACGAATACCCTATTCCGTTTCTCCACATACCACCATTCAGTCTCATTGTCTAACCATCATACTTCGAATCTCTTTGTACCTTTGCGATTTGCTAAGTTCCATGAGTTTCTCACAACTTGGTAATTTTGTATTCTGGGCGTCTTTTAACTTTTCTTCGTCGGGAAATAACCAGCCCTTTGCTTCATTCACCTTACGTTGTTTCATCACAAATTCGTTGTTGCAATCATCTGTCAGTGATTTTACAAATCTAATCTCAATACTATCTTCAAATTGTTGCAATTTTCGTGGGTTTTGAGCGAAACTCGCAAATTGATTTGGTTCAACAAAATAAGGAACATCTAGTGAACGTGTATGTCGTGATTCTGGATAATAACGTGATTGATGAAGAGAATATGCTGGCATAGGTTCTGGAGTTGGCGTAAGCCAATTAGAAGAGAAAGTAAATATGAAAAGAAGAATAAGGGGTAAAAGTTGAAAAAAGGTCAAAAGCGGTGACGTATTGTTCTGTTCTCGAGCTCTCCCTCCATTAGGCGATTCTCGGCGTGGTTGAAAACGTCGCGCACTGAATCCTGGGCCAACAAAAGTAGCCGAATGAAAGCCTACAGAAGATTTTTATATCAACGGCTGATTTTTAGTTGCTGAAACTTCTGATTTTCCCTGAAAGTACCTACCATCTCCACTGAAGAACATATTAAATATTTCCTCTGGTGAAATTTCATCTGTAAACATGGTTCCACTTGCAAAACCATTACTGAAACGTGTCCCCCCAAATCCGGATGGCATCCCAGTGCTTCGTGAATCTGGATCAGCTCCGTGTTCGTCATATATCGCCCGTTTTTGTGGGTCACTAAGTATTTGGAATGCCTTGCCAACCACTAACTCATACAATTTAAATTAGTGTCGCTATAATTTATGACAAAAAACCTAAATTCGGTTTAAAAAATACTAACTTTTGAAAGCCTCATCGGCTCCTGGTGCTCCATTTTTGTCCGGGTGCATCTGCAAAGCCAACTATATTGTGTATAAAAAGTCAGAACGAATGACCGTCTATCGGTGAGTGATTATAGAAATTCGAATTTCCGATAAAATTTAATCATACAGTGAACCTTTCGGTATGCCTTCTTAATTTCCGCATCCGAGGATTCTTTGCTTATTGACAATATAGCATAATAATCATTGACATCACAGGACCTTATTCGCTTGACTGCTTCTGCTTGCTCCGGTGTGTAATCTCGGGTTTGCCTTCCTTGATTGTGTTCCCTGGAAGGGCTCGATGGCGACTTCGAAGGCGATTGACGACTGCTACCTCCTCGGTCGTTTGTTGTCTTAGCTGACTCCGCCCGTTTTAGAAACACTTCTGCCTCTGTTGTCGGGAATAAATTTATAGATTTTTGTGCAAACTTAATTGCTCCAGAAACGTCTCCGGTTGTCAGTTTTTCTCGAGCAATTTCGAGGCACCTAAGTGCTTCGTCCTTGTTGAATTCCATGTTAGTCCCACTAACCGTAAGGAAGATTACCGACCGTTAAACACAACAAAGACCGTTTCAACAATTTGATGCGAGTCAGATGCAACCTAATAAGGACCAACAATGTTTCTACTAGAAACCTCAACGCTAGATCTGCAAACTTGGGTTATGGAAACTGGAGGTGAAAAAAGATAAATGATTAATAGCTAGCTTAGTGTTATGTTATGTTACACGAATTCTGAAGTAACAGATTTTCTTTTTAATAATAAGAAAGTTTTATTGCTTTATTATTATTATTTTTTTTATAATTCACAATCAAGTTGAATTACATGTTTATTAAATTATGTTGAACTGTTACAAATATAAAAAATAATAGATATGTATTTCTCTTTTCTATACTTGAAACCTTTTTTTTTAAATTTTTTTTATTTTTTGCTTTTATTTATTTTTTATTGTTTTTTTTTATCAACTTTTAATTAGTTTTTTTTTTGGGGGGGTTTTCCCAGTAGGTAAACATCATTTCTTTATTTTTATTTGTATATAACAAGGTATACATTATTGAAAGAAACGACATCTCTCTTATTATTTTAAAAGAGTTAAATGCTAGCTTGCCTACTTATCAATATCTAACTAATATCATAAAAAAATTCAAAATCAATATTAAAATGTTAAATAAGACTGAGTAGTGGTTATGCCTACCATCCCAGGAAATTTTGCAAATTCTTTTGATTTTTTGAATGTAAAAAATTAAAAAGAAAAATGGAATTGACTATAATTAAAACTAAATCAAATATATTATAAGATCCATATATTGAATGAAATAACCCCCTGGTAGGTTCATGGTCCCAACTCTCTGTTATTCTGCATACTATAAACCCTAGAGTACACGTGATATTGTTTGTTGTTATGGTCGTTAGTAGTGAGTTATTTGTTGTTGTTGTTGTGATTGTTGTTGTGATACAAAACCGGTTTGAGCTTGTTTATTTTTTGTTTTGATTATCAGATGAAATCTGATTGGATAATTGATAAGTGCTGATTATTTGAAGGGAGTAAACTGATTTTGGTTTTTTGAATGAGAAATTTTTGGTAGATGAAAATGATGCAGCAAATATTGCTATGAAAATATTATGTATGAGAGTTGACTTGAAATAAACAGTAGATCCACTAACTCTATTTGAGTATATATTTTGAAAAATATTTGGCTTAGCAAGTATGATAGTAATGATGTAAATAATTTTTATAATAGAATAAGAGTAAGGTGAGGTGCAAGAGAACTAAAGAAAAAAGAACTGCCACAGGCCTTTCCTTATGTAACCAAAGGATAAGCAAGATTCTCAAACTTAAATAGACTTCAACCAAAGATTCCATCCTACTGTACCAGTTGTCTTGAAGATTTTTGAGTTCCTGAATTGAGGCTCACTTGTGATAAAGAGAGTAAACCATTTTTTTTTGCTTAAAATTACCATAAAAGAAAATTTTTTAACAAAATGGATATGATCAAAAGAGAGTTTTTTTTAACTTTTAATTAGTTGATTTTCTCTTTTTAGATTTTACATATAAAAATATAATAATTTTAATAATTTTAAGCTTTTTTAAAAAAAAAAATCAATAACAATATTATTATGTGTTCATATTATCATCAAAAAATTTTTGATTAATAATATAATTTATAAATTATAATTGAATTTCTATAAATTAATAATTTTGAAACTATAAAAAAAAACTCTTTCCCACTCCCCCTTCTGCACTTGAAATTTTCCTTTTTAGGAAATTTTTGAGTTGTTTACTTTTTTTCTTTGTTCTCTTCTTTTCTTCTCTTTTACTTCTTCTTTTCCATATCCTTTTATTTCCTCTCCTCTATTCCTTACCCCTTCTTTCTTTAGATTCTTTTATATAAAACTTATCACTTCCCCTTTCTTTTTCCCTTTCCCTATTGAAGTTAGGTTTTTTCTTCTTTCTGAAGGTTTTCTTTACTCATTTGATCAACTTGTCGAATAATGTGACAAAACACAATTTGGCTTTTATTCGATGGTTTAAACCTGTTAATTTGGCAAATATTAGATTTTATTTTAAATCCAAAAATAATGTGAATGTTAAATTATGAAGTATTGAATTTTATCTACTTAGATGCAAATGTATAATTTCTATTTATAACATTTTTAGCTAATTTATTCCATTTAAATATAAAATTTCAAATCAATAAGATTCTTGTAAATATTTAGCTATTATTCCTTTAAATCACAAATACAATATATAAAATTTCATTGAAACATATATAATTCAGCAATATAATATAATTTAACAAAAATATATACAGTATATGGAAAGGTAATATAATTTGGCAAAGTAATATAATTTAGCAATATATATTTGGCAAGATAATATAATTCGTCAAAGTAATATAATTTGAAAAATTCATAATATATACAGTATATATATTTAATGCAAAAAATAAATTATCCATTTTATTGTCAAAATATTAATTTCTTCAAAATGAGGTTTAAAAAAAGTATATCATTTATATACCAAATAAATTATATACTGCTTTATAGCTGAAGATTAAAATTATATAAATTTGATTAGCCAAATTATATACTTTTTTAACAAATGATTAACAAGTGGCATTATACCAAATAAATTAATTTCGACTAGTGTACTTATCAATAAAAATCTAGTGAAAATCCATATTTTCTTTTTAAATATATATATATATATATATATTATAGTTTCAAAATTATTTTATTTTATTTTTTTTTTGAAGAAACAAAAGGCTATTACATTTTATTTATTATTATAATTTTAGACTTGCAGTACAAGATTTATAATATATTTACAGTATAATATACATCTCTCTTTGCTAGGAAGAGTTAAATGCTAGGCTCCGCAAATATGGTCCATTCTCTGTACTCCCTAGCACCACCCAAGAATATAAAAAAAAGAAATTCAAAACCTATATTATACCTCGGATGGTGTCTAATTATCTAGAAAAATTGAATACCTAGCCATATAAAAGTGTTGCAGCCACTATATACAGGTTGGCCTCCAAGTCATAACTAGGATTGGCAAGCTTGCTTTTCAAATGTGACTTGATATACGGCAAGCCAAGATATGTTTCATCTTATACTTCCTTTAGATAACTGCTCAACTAGTTAAATGGTTGCTACACTAACACAGATATCTTGTAAAGATTAGCCTTTCATCTGATTACCTAGTATTTGACCTTCTCTATCCTTCTAGAATTGCGGTAGATTACAGGTTGACCAGGTCTGTGGTAGTTGCCTATATCTGTGACAAGTAGGGAAGGGGATAGCTACTCTTTATAAGAAGCTTTATACATATAGCTGCATCATTTAAGTATTTGAGTAGAATCCAACACTGGTATAAGATAGGAGAAGGTAAAAGAAAAGTGTTTGGATGTATAGTAATGGTTGTTAAAAGAAGTTATCAGATATAATGGAGTTGAAGTTTCTTATAAATATTGTTACCTAACCTTGTACAATGAGCCTATATTGTTGGAGAGATGAGCGAGGAACTTTCGTTGTTGTCATCAGCTCATGTTGCAGGATAATTAGAATCTCTGGTCTTCACATATTATTTTATTAGGTTTTCCAATCACCAGCATAACACCTGCAACTAACCTAGCTTATTGTTAGCTGCATTGGCATTGGCTGCCATATTTTTCTGGATA